TGGACCGGTTAAGTGAACAAATAAAGGAAAATTGTTCTCGTTTAAACAAAAAAAAATTCTGTTTTATCAATACAATGCACGAGTGCACTTTTGCGCAGTTTCAACGGCCAAAATAAAAAAATTGAAATTCGAATTAGTGGACCATCCATCGTATACACCAGATTTGGCCCTAACTGACTATTTTATATTAAAACTATTTTATATTAACTGGCTATTTAATATTGAAAAATAAAAACAAATCTACCTACAACAATACTTATTCTACCTTGTTTTAAGGACTTATTGACCCACCCTCATACACTGCCATCGTAAATTCTATCGAAAGGTATTATATCTACTTAGCGGGCATTATTTCATATATATACCTCAAACATCGTTCATTTTCAACAGACTACGTAGATAATTAATTTTTTTTTTTCAGTTATTTCAGATTTTTTAATTTTTGCCGCAAAATGAAAAATTTGTTCGAAAACATTCCATTACTTTATAACCATTGTTTCGAAAGACAATCAACTCGCGTATTTACAATCGTTTTTTGGCGTATTCAAGGGAATGAAATACAATTTCAAATAATAGTTTTATTTTAAGGCATTTGAAAACCACGCTTGTTGAATTGTAAAGCTTTACTATCCAATTAGTGTAGTCATCTTAAACTACACGCTGATGGAATGCAACTGTCCAGTGAAAATTACGGATAGGCAGATATACGTATAGAAGAGATTGCTCGAAACGAACAGATCGATCCTGACAATATCACGTTGTAGCGCTTCAACATTCAAACGCTGAAATTTTCTACGGGATTTAATGAACCTAGCAGAGCGAGTCGTCTAGTGTTTTAAAGCTCAAAAGAGCGAACAGCGAAGTTATGCTTTAACTTCATTCCGTGAATTACGCTAAATTCAAGTTTATAACTCGGTTGTGGTGGCAGTGACGTCTTGGCATGCGCGGATTTCTGACACCATTTGTCATTTGCCTCGGAAAAATACGTAAATATAAACTACAAACGACTTGCTTGAGAGCAAGAGGGAGAGAGAGAAACTGATGGCATTTACTAATATCCATTCGATTCAAATTTACACGCGTTTCACTCATAAAATATAGCTTTCCATTGCAAATTCAATTGAAAATTGTTCAAGAGACGTGAATTTTCATTTAAAAAAAAAGGAAAAACTTTCCCCAGCGAAAAAATAAACGCTCAGAAGATATTATCGCGTTAGTTCGCACAACTCGTGGACTTATGAAAACTCACGAGAAAATAATTATTTAGCGGGTGGAAGTTTAATTGCGTTGGCCTAGCTTTTATTAGCGCAGCTGCGGCGAAAAGCGTCGCCCTCTTTAATACGGTACTACGCGCTCACGTGTATTCTGTTTTTCCATACTCGACTTTCAACCGGGTAAAAGCTATTCTGGCGGAAGGCACAATGTTAGTTGAGCATCTCGCTCTCTAGGTTAATGGGTTCGGGTGAATCAGTCGCTCAGCCTTGGCAAAGTCCAAGAGCGATCTTGCCAAGTTTTGAAGGTGTCGAAGTGCAACATTAAAAGTCATTGGGAAGGATTTGTGAAGCCAGAGCATTCAAGGCCTAGGCTGCGGAGAGGGAGGGGTTTTCAAGTGGGCGACCCACCCGCACTTCTGTATTGCGTAATATTTGTCGCGCTCCCGCGCACGCTCCAAGCAAAAGCTTTAGAGCACTTTATTTTGTCAGTAATGTTAAGATGCTTATTCAAGATTTCAAATGAGAATTGCAATTACCTTGCTGTGCAGAACCGACACGAGAAATTCTTGCGCAGTGCACTATATCACTATAGCTTGGCTTTACTTTGTTTTGGTTTCAGTAGTGCTTATAAATAAAAACAATGGCTAGACTTCCAGACAATGCTTATGAAGATTACGTAAGCTTTCAAACCGAAAGATTTGCTTTTACGTTAACTCGGCAATATATCTTGTATTGATTGTAAACGCGTTTTTTTCAAGTATACTCCCGTTTTCCAGATATTAAGAGCACTTGGATATTTTTTCCTCGGAAAACTAGCTCTTTACACTAATTTAATGTTAGCATGAAAAATAACGAACCTAATATTTCCCAGAGAAACTGATTACCTTCATTTTTAATTAAATATCAGAATTTTTGTTAAATAACATTTTCTGGAAAACTTATTCTCGGAAATAAATGAAACACGTTAGCAAATATTGTAGAGGATTTTGAAATGTATTTCACTGAGGAATACTTGGAATCATCTCGCATCAATGTTTGCCCCAGGAGTCAAGGAAGGCAAAGCGGGAGGTGAAACTAGAAGATAAATGTCAGATCACTTTTGCTCGAGGAACGTTAAAACTGTTAAATCACGCGTAAATGGCAGACGTGCGAAGCGCGAATATCGTAATTACTGGAGTGGAATTGGAAGCCAGCAAAACTATCATCAAGAAGCGGTACATGGCGTGCAACGCCTGTGCTACACATGCTCAGTTGCAGTTGTTAGCTGCGAAAATTAAGAAGACTGCGCCTGGTTGCGTCTTCTAGGCTTCGGTTATATAATCCCTACTACGACTCCGGAGAGCAACTTAATAATGCAAACGGACCATTTAAGCGTGTCCGTGCAAGCGTGAATTATTACTGTTTACCCTAAGACACTGCCAGACACGAGCTACGACATCTTCGATGCTAAATGTAAATGTATACGATGTGTATGCGCGTAGGAGATAAGCTGACACGGATGTTAAGTCCAGAAGCGCTCGTATCAAACGATAAAACTAAGCAACACAGTTCATTGTTCTACAGCGAATGCGGGCTATTCAAATGAAAATTTAATTGGTTACGCGCGTTTTCAGGGTACAATCACGAACAAGTCTATCTGTGTAACTCTTATCTGATTGATGATCTGATTTTTTAGCCTGTACGATATGGTCTCGTTACTGGATTTCTGATTCCTCGTTTTCTATTTATTCAGTTCAAAAAGCATTAATGATAAGCGTTAATTTCTAGGTCAAAACAACGTACGTAGGTACTTGTGCCCTTTAAACTAAGACTTTTCTAAGAAACGTATTTTTTGAAGAGCGAGGGGAAAATATAACGGACAATTACTATGTTCCTAGTACTACTTTATTTTACGTCAAGGGTGTGTATACTTTTTAATTACGCACGAAAAAACAATGGAATATTGCACGGAATTTCATGACAAAAGTACATCGGCTATGTAAAGTCAAAAATGCTCTTGCTGTCTCTCTCTTTCATTTTTTTTTTGTAGCGTGTCAAGTCTTTAACTCTGATAAATTACAGTGTCCAAAGCAACAAAGAAATGGAATGCTGACCCATTTTTTGTGCAGAATTAGAAGTGATCTAAAACAGTATATTATAAGTATAAGATATTTGCTTTTATCACATAATATAACTACTTTTAATTCAGTTTTGCTACCAAGTCATTAGCGTGATGCCGAATATAATTGATCAAGTTTGCCACCTAATATAATAAGAACTGAAAGTTAAATGAATATACAAATTTTCAAGTGCAATCAAGTTGCAAGTTTTACAACGACATGAACTTTGCATTACATTGTATCATCGAATAAACCAATAAATTAAATTACGCGCATCAAAAGTTTAAAAATATTTTTTTAATAAAAAGACATTGTAATGGGCAAACTTAGCACACAAGGCAGCCATAATCATAAATTTTGATTATGCCAAATACCAAAGATTAATCTGTAGTGAGAACAAATTAAAAAGTTTCGCAAACCTCTTTAACTCCCTTCTGTTTCGGTGAACGTTAGAAAATACCAGTGAGCCATTCATAAATATTTCGGAAAATAATACTAATCTCTGAATTAGTTTTCATTTTCATTTTAATTCTTTAATAAAGCGTGCACTTTCATTCAAGTTATTCCATTAAAGTCGTTTAAATAAAGACATTATAAAACAAGCATACTTTTCAAACGTTAGATTTTTAAGAAATTCTACACAGGTTGAGAGTAATATTTTATTTTCAAATCTATCGGCATGCAATATAAATCGGATCATCACATGAAGCTATTAAATGCTTCAATCATCCAAATTTATTAGATCGTGTATAACTAAGGCGAGAAAATTAAAAAAAAAGATAAGTAATATTTTGTTGTATCTAATGCAAATCTGATAAAGTCTTTAGTCAAGTTCTCTCGAGCTACCGTAAAGTCAACAATAACTTTCGATGTTAGCCTCACAGGATTATCAAAGTTTGTTCGATACGTGACATAATCAAGATTGGACTGTCCGCAGTTTATTAGTCAGAAATAATAAATTGAACAAAGTTAATATATTTATAATACAAGGCATACATTTTACTGCATTTAGTTAAAAAATGATAAAATTGAATCTAAATATCAACGAACTTTAAAGTATTCATGAGGCGTCACGCTTTTCCAATGAAGTTGAGAATTCTTAACTTTTGAGTTTAGTATGTATGGAAGTTGAAAAATCGATCTCTCGTATACAATATAAAACGTGTGCCACGTGCACGAAGACAGCCCGAGCGCAAATGTGAGAATGAAAAAAAACAGTACGCATTTGCTCGTGTAACTTTGAAAGTGGAATCTCTTGTTTGGAAAATTTAAGTCAACACAGTAATTACCGCAGTGGGAAATCAAATATTTGGAATAGTACAGTATCTCACTAGTGCGGAAAAGCAGATTCTTGTCATGTATAAGGTTTATAGCCGAGCCAAACGTGAACAAAAAGGTATGTGGTAAACATACGTTTGTCACCGAGTGTACGGACAAGTCATACTTTCCACTGGTCGTATTGAAAAGCTATTGAGAATATCTTATTCGGCACTGTCAATTACAAACGACTTATTTTTTTGAGAGATGCTGCGCTGCTTTGAAGCACCTCGGTAATGAGAACCGCGTAAGTCGAGAGACAAACAAGCAGCACTGCGTCGATTAGGTTGGATGGAGGTGGTGGGAAGCGGTAATAGGGGACAACGAGAGCAAGAGAGTAGAAGACAAAGAGAAAATAATGGAGGCTCACCTTTGATAAAGTCCACAGCCATTTCGAGGCCGTAAGTGTCCTTGTCGCAATCGTCAAGAATGTGAGCACCAACTTTGACGCCCGGCACGATGTCGCGCTCGTTAAGCCAGTCAAGAGTGTAGAGCATTGCCTCGAGGGCTTGTATACCACCTTGCGGCATCACCGGTCCACAGACCACCGAGTCTTCGCGCTCGTGTACCATCATAAGTCCACCAAGGACTAGGTCACCTTCGACCACAGCGCTATGTTTAACCGGCCACTGATCTCCCGCTTTAATGATCGCCTCTTGCTGTTTCTGCTCACCACCGGTGCTGCCACTGTCACGGCTGCTGGTCGATATTGTCGTAATCTCGGAGATCGCATATTCGTTGCTTGTAGTACTGCTACTGCTGCTGGTATTGAAAGACAGTCGACGTTCACGCCTCCACGGGGGTTGGTCTTTTGTCGACAAACTTTCCGTTGTAGACACTTTGTCTTGCTCGCAATTTGAGAGACAATCGAGGATACTTGATTTTAGTAGCGAATGCTCCGTGGACAAGTAGTTTCTCGGCTGCTGCTGGTGCTGCTGATGCTGCTGCTCCAACTGCAGCGTCTTTTTCGTGTTTTCGCTTGGAGTGGCGCTTCTGATAGTCGGGCTCCCAATGAATTCATTAATGACCAACAAGGCGCTGTTAGTGGTGGCACTCGAGACGGAATTGGCCCATTCCTCAATGGCTCGCTCGGCAGTCATTGCCACTTGGTAACTAACGGCTGTTGCTGCCAAACCTACGTAAGTGGATGCTGCTCTGCTTTTCATGATCGAGGCTCTTTTCGTGGACGTCTTGCGATGACCGAGCGTCGATGATTTTTCGTGAAACTCCAACGGAACATAATTGTAATGCACGCGTTGCTTCGGTTGCAGCGAAACGTCAGTGGGATTGTATTTCGTGACTCTCATAACGTATGGCTCCTCACTCGTAACAGAAGGATTCAATGTTATGAAACGGCTTCTAGCATTCGAGGAAATGTCAGATTCTATTTTTCGCTGACGTGATAAGGTTTCGGTACTAGTCGTGGACAAAGTATTGGCTACCTCCAGCTTTGAAAATGCACTGTGTGCGGAGCGTAGGCCACTCGAAAGTGTTGCTTCTGGCTGCTCGATCTTAACAAAGGTGGACAGTTCCGTGGCGAGACCGGCCGTTAAGACGCACCATAAGGCCATCAAGGCCGCTTTCCAGTTTGCACGTACCATCAGCTCATCGCGTAGATCATCATGGCTAAAACATAATATAGTACGTTTGCATAATTTCAAGTGACATATCTCAAGTGTCTCGCACTATTACATTCAATATTCAGCTCAAGCTAACTGTGCATTTCACATTAACAAATGCAATTACCAAAGTCGTAATATTTATTTAGTGTACACTTTCAAACAAAACTTTTGCGTAAAAGTAGCACTTTAATTCATCTTAAAATTCATAAATGAGTCACCAGTTGACAAAAGAATTCACTTTATTTTTGTACTACATTTAAAAACGAAATCATTTATGCAAAAATGAATATATTTGTATAAAATATGCTTTTAGATGTTTCAATATTTATAATACGCCCGTCAGCTCCACTTTATTTTTCAAAGATAATTAATCAAATGACCACGTTAAAACTGAAATTTGGATCAAAGCCACCGCCAGAGGCGGAGACTACACCTAAATGCGCGGACAATGCTATTTAGACGACGGCTAAATATGGAAGAACAAAAGGGTTACCTATAGCGGAGACTGCATTCTATCGTGCAAGTCTAAATTTATAGACTGATGATGAAATTGTTGAAATGTAACAAAATCATTTACGATATAGTCTAATGCGGTCTTTTAATAAAAAACATTTCAGTTGCATTAGCAAAAGTTTGGTCGCGTTGATAGTTTTCGATTATCTTAACAAAAATTGTTAAAAGTATGATATAGTATTTAACAAATCTTCGTTTTTGACTATTACTTAACATTGTACTTCGTTTACTAGCAAAAAATTTAGAAAAAGCCTAGAAAAAGACTGGTTCAAGAAAATTTTAAAATTATTTTAAAAATCATTCCTTAAACACAAAAGTAAATATAATAAAAACAGGAGTTCATTATAAGCACTACTATTATTATTTGAATCTGAAATTATTGTTTGACATACTGCAGAGAATTTGACATAGCACAGCACAAAGAAAAAGCGGAGATCTTTCTGTTCTAGATATTATTCGAAAGAAGACAATGTTAAACTTATGATAGAAAGCTCAAAATATCTATTGGCCTTAATGGCAGTACTAACAATTGCTAGTTTTTACTTAAAAATCTTTTATACTGCTTTGAACGTGTCCTTAATACGCTCTTTCCAAGAATGCTTTGAACAAAAAAGGTCATTTTTATTTTATACTCTTCAATACTGAATTTCGTAGTAACTCAGGGTCAGTAAACCTAAAACCCAAGATAATTTTTAAAATTGGTACTTGCAAAAAATAAATGGTATTTAACACGATATAAAATAATATTAATTTATGATTGTAAAATAAATGTTTGTAAATCAATACAACAGTCAGAAATATGAATTGTTTGATGCGTTGGTTCTATAAATATTGAGAGCATGCCGATATATAATATTACATAAACTTTTGTAATGTTAACGTAATAATAACACTTGGAATGTTTATAACGATAAAAATAGTAATTTCATGAAAGCCCACAGTTAAATACATACAGATAAATCAAGTTCCCAGTGCAGTGGTATAATGAGATATACCATTATAGTATATCTCACTATAGTAGCGCTATAGCGAGATTACTATAGTAACCAACATCTATCGCAATGTAGCAGTTGTAATCTCTGCCTTTGTCTGCAAAATCTGAATCATATTATAACACATTACATCTGCAACGCAGAGTTAAGTCCATTTGTATAGCTGGTTGTCGCTTAACATCGAACTCCCGCTCACAAATACTTTAATCCCATTTTCATGATAGATTGAAATTTAACCGATCGCATGAGTACACCCTTGCAATGGTTAGTGACATTTCTGTACTGCGACAACGATATATTAGATCAATTCAAATACCTATAATAATATTATCATTAAATAAATTACGTTATTAATATGTGTATCTTTCATGAACATTACAAGAATTATATTAAATATCGCACTGGAATTAAATTATTGCCTAACTGCGTAACTACGATGCTTAAATCTACCATTTGCTTTACTGGGCTTTTGAAACTTCAAATTTAATCTAAAACAGTTTTGCTCTGAAATAATTCATTTTTCTATATTATTCACCGAAGTTCTATTAATTAAGTGTAATTGAAACATTACAAATATTACCTAATTAATCCAATCGAAAAATTTTTTTAATATAAATTAACGTAATATCTTGTACATTGTAAAATTAAATGCAGTAAACTCTTCGACAAAGCTTTAGTTTCTGCCTCTAGAAGTCTGGAACCTCTGACTTTCTTTGCTAGCTAAAGTCATCACGAGCGAAAATTGCACTATATTGAAAATACTCTTGGCTGTCTGAATGAGTTCGCAATGACAAATTTATTTCAAAAAGCGTCTTTGAAGTGACATCGCTGAAGATCACGTTATAATTTGTAATACTTCGTTAGAGAAAAGGGAAACTGGAAAAAGAAGTCTTTTGTTGCGCGACTTGGTTTTCCGCTATTTCTTCATCTCTCTTTAGAAGCACTGTTCAGTGAACAGTCAGCATTTTGCGACAAAAACGTCATAACACACAACCGAGAAAGCTTGACGTTTGCGCCTGCCGAGACGTTTTGTCAAATCATAAAAGTTTGATTGCCACGCTGCCGCTAGCGTCCAGCTCTTACTCGCTGACTTACTTACTTGCTGGTGTGAAAACTTACTGAGAGCAGCATACGTGGTTCACTTGAAATCTGTCAAAATCAACATTGAAATTTAAATGCACATATATGACGTCGACAACAGCCGAGCCAATTCAATCGGAGAATGCTTCGAAATATCATTTCAAATTCAATGAATCATTTACAAACATTTATTTTGCAGCTACTTTTGATATACTACTGACCAAGGGAACACACTCATGAAAACCTAATTATTTACAAACTACTGAGAGAATTACAATCTAGGAGAGCAAGTTGAGAGAAGTGTATTACAGATTGATGAGGTCTGACCAATTTTGAAGATTATCTACTGGCACTATAGAAAATAACGACCAGCTAAATCTGCAGTCAGCCACGACAGTTACAGACTGTCCTATACAAATTTTGTAACTAAAATTGATTATTTAAACATATATCGTAACTTCTGTTTACTTTGTTATTTCCTTACAAATAAAATTTAACCCCTTAATTGTTAGGTAAACGAAAAACAACGCGAAAAGTACTAAATTCAAGTGTGAATTTGATACTTCTAGAGTGTTATAGTACGATATGATTTATAAAAAGTAAATTACAAATGTATTTCTAGCATCCTCTGTCAGGTCATCCACTAAACATCAATTCTAAAGTTACTTTAAAAATTCTGATAGAAGGAAAAGCAAAAAGATAGGTAGAAAGGCGAAGCAAAGAATGATATTCTAGATATAGTCGTCTACCTATCTATCTCCAATTTTCTTCGCCGAACTCCTTTGAGATTTCATTTCACGTGAATTTCACAGGAATTTGTCAAATGATAGAGTTCTTCTTTTCTCACGTAATGTGAGAATCTATCAAGATTTTTTTTCACAACTTCCAATATGAAAGATCTTGTCTATAATAAACCAATTATCTTCACTGCAAAAAGTCACTTGAAAAGAGAAAGTAACCAAAATATTTTTTTAATTCCAATTGCTCCTAATAATAGCAAAGTAACAAATCTTAAGCGTATAAACATATTGAGAGTAAATTTTGCCCTTTTGTCTGAATTCCATAGTGCGAAAAGTGCTGCAATGTTCCATTAGGTAAATCAACCAAAACTAATAAATGAATCGTGAAAAATTCAATGTAAAAATTTCTTAAAGAATTATACTTTTATTGTCAGGGGAGCATGTTGAAGTAAACTCAATAAAAAAATTTTGTGCGCCTGCTTATTTACCAAAATAACTGTACAATATTACTTAATGATATTTATTCACATAACCTTGATATTTAATATATCAAATTTCAACCTTGACTAAATATATTGAAAAATATAAATTACAGCATGAACTAGAAAAATGATCCCAAATACGTAATAAAAATTTTTTTTATAGAAGTTAAATTTAAAAAAGTTATTCAACCGAATGAAAAAGTTGAAAAAAATATTTTAACGTTATATATTGGTTAGATCTTATTGACTACAGAAACAACTAATCTATATATATTCAGACTCTTACAGAAGATTATTTCATCAAGTTCACCAACTTTTAAAGTAACATGTCGGATATAGCACTTGACGGGTTTTTAGCTGATGGAAAAGTCAGATATAAGGGGTAACCGCTTTCTTGGTAAAGTCTCGCATTCGAAAGCGACTCAGTAAAAGTGGTTTAGTCTTTTACACCTTTTATACAAAGAAATCTCCTTGTGCAATCAGAAAACTTCGCACTATAAAAAATACTTTTATATAAACAATTTTTTCCCCAGGAACTCAACCACTCTTTTCAGAGTATTTCGTAAAATTTTACAGTATTCATTTTCGAACAAAGTTCCACTTTTTTTACCTTTTTAACTAGCTCACATAATCCTATAGAAAAAGATTTACAGTAATAAGAAAAACGAGCATTTTCTTATATTTTTTATTATCTTTCAATTATCAAGTAGAACATGAAGTAAAATGGATTATACCTTCGTAATACGAAATGCTTGATTGCATACTCCTATATTGACTATCAGATCGAAATACTCGAATTGGAACTAGAGAAGGGAGGAGAAATTACACCTCGTTTGAGTTGATGCTCAAATGACAAAGACGATGCGATAGAGGTACGTTGGCTCATTTTCAAGCGCTCGAATTCTGGAATACTCCGACAGCATTCAATAAAACTGTTAATATATTGTGAATTAATGGAAAATGAAAATTTCTTCTTATATAGTAATTTTACCATTAATTTCTAAAATAAGCTTTAACAATCTTCCGTCGTTAAATTCAAATACGAAAGATCTTATTACAAAAACTACATAATAATAAATTTTCAATCATAACAGTGAGCAAAAAAGTTTTGAATATAGGTATATATACGTATGCATCTGAAGCATTAAGGTGCCGACAAATATGTGTAGTCTGTAACTCTTATGAGCTATGATTCGC